TTGATGGGCAGGCGAACAACGATATCTTCTTATCATTGCGAACAATGCAGTGAATGTTGGCTGCAAAGAGTTGCGCAAAATAACAAATACAGTTTTTCACCTTTCGATCGATATGTGGAAATCCCTAAAAGATGCCCTTCCTCAGTCAGCCAACCATTCTGTTTCTGTTATCATATCCGGAAAGAAAGTCCTTTCTAAACCAGTTCAAGTGTTTAACAAACATTTTACAACTATAGGCCAGAAAATCGCAAAGGCCTTTGGGAAAGGGAATAAAGATGCGAAAGGAATTTTGCAAAATAAAACTAATGAGGGTTTCCAACTGGATCTCGTAACAAGCAATTTCGTGAAAGTTGAAAACTGCAAAACTTAAAAACAAACAAAGCAATTGGCTTAGACAAAATCAGCGCAAGGTTATTGAAAGACTCCGCTGACATCATTGCACCATCCCTACCAGCCCTAATAAACAAATTATTTCTTGAAGGCAAATTTCCAATAAATGGAAAACCGCAAAAGTTGTAGCTTTATTCAAGAGTGGCGATAAGAGTAACTGTTACAATTACAGACCCATTTCAATCTTACCTACAATAAGCAAGATAATCGAGCTAGCAGTTCATAAGAAGTTTTACGAATTCTTGCAAGTAAACAATCTCCTCTTCAAAGATCAGTTCGGATTTAGACCCCGTTTACACTGTCCCGGGACAATTTTGTACCGTTACGGTTCGCAAGTGTTTACACTGTCGCGGTTCCAAATTGTTCCGTTTAGCCGTTCCGTTTACACTGTACCGGTACGACCTTAATTTAATGGTAGAACATTGTTTAGAAGAAGCTGTATTTAGTCAACCACGGCCTTTTTTGCCGCTGAAGTCAACAATCGAATTTTTATTGTGAGTTAAAATGGAGCGGAAGGCCGATTAAAACTTTACTTGGACGAAAGACAAGGTGGCTTTAATTTTCAGTGTTATTTTAGACTACAAAACTGCCAAGTCCAATCAAGGCTTGGACTGGGAAACACTACAAGCCTTTTCTGTGGTCGTCTTTTCTTCAGAATTCCCTTTTCTTCAGAATTTGAGAACGTAGTTACGCCACAATCAAAGCCTCGATTACCTGAAACAGCCATACAAAAGACCTCTTTGTGAATCCGTGACAAAATCGTCTCGGATAGGTGTTTACACTGTCCCGTTCAAAAACGGAACCGTGACGGTACAAAATTCGTTCGCTTTCAAAGCAGGGTCAAAACTGTTCCGGATAGCAGAGCAAAATCGTCACGGTTCCACAGTGCTAGTGTAAACGCAAGGGCGAACCGCGACAGTTTTGTCACGGTTCCAAACTTGCACGGGACAGTGTAAACGGGGTCTTAGAAACAAAATGTCTACAAGCTCTGCTCTTTGACAATTTATGGACAGCCTCCTTGAAAGCATGGACAAAGGTCATGTATCTGGTGTTGTGTACTTAGATTCGAAAAAAGCCTTCGACACAGTGAATCATTCTTTGTTGCTTTTGAAGTTGACAGAGTCAGGGGCGAAACTACCGGGGGGGGGTGTGGGGGGGGTGTGACACCCCCCCAATCCAAAAAATAGTCGATTTCGCAGGGCAATCGAAGATTTCGCAGGGCGCCAAGAAGAGTTTTATTGCCACGCAGAAATGCCACCTCTGAAGTTCGTAAAAAGCCGTTTAGGAATTTTGAAATGGAAATATCGTATTTGTTATGAACCTCCCTTCCTGACATTGCATTTTAAAGAACGGAACAGGTATGTAAGGAAAAGCTCCGTTGTTTGCAAAGCGAAAGCATTTCTTACCGAAAGTCATAGCCAATGGATGCAATGATTGATGCATATGTTTATGAGGGCAAGGTTGAGTCATGCAAATTAATTTAAGTTGTAAATTATTTTCATGACAAGCACGGCTTCACTGGGGGGGGGGAATAAAGGGCTGAAGTCCCTCACTTTGGTCAAGATAGAAATTTTTTTTATCATTTTTTCTATTACTTTTTAACAGTGCATGAACTAAAAAACATAATAAATCGTTAAGATACCGTTTCATCTAATTGCTAACTTTTTCACGTATATTTTTATTATTTTTCTTTTATTTGCATTAATTCAGTAAATCATTTTCTGTATCATTGCAATGTTTTAATTTTGGATGTGTAAACATGGCCTTCTTGATACAAGAAACTGCACATTTCTGTTCAGGAAAAAAAATTCTCCCAATCAAAACAACATCTTCCTTCTGTCATTCACAACTAAGTGCAATCTGAAACGAAAGGTTGCCGTTTCTTTCCTTCCCCAACGTCTAACACTAGAGTTTTAGCATGACATCCCCCTCCCTATTTTTCCCAATAAACAATAATATTTTCAATAAACTATCACTTCTTTTAGCACAATAGTAATTTGGTAAATTTTTGTCTGAAAGATGCTTTTTAGCCCTTTTACAACATATAATTTCAAAAAATTTCTTCACGTCGGACCCAACCATGGTGGGTCCTCCTACCTCACTAAACTCGACTCTTAGCTCCACTGGGCTAAATTTCGTTGCGCTGTCTACATCATGTACCTCCCCCCCCCAATTAGCTGTTTATTAGCTTAATTTTGCAAACCAACGTTAAATGAAGTGAATTTAAAAAAAAATTACGCTCACGTAGAGAAATAAAAATTTCATAGGCAATGAAGTTTCAAGTTTGTTTTTATTGCTTAGAAGTTTGTCCATGGTAAAGACCAGTGTACACTGGTAAAGCTTTCACTAGTAACCTATAGACAAACCGTTGCTACGAGGTCTGCAGGGCACCACTCATTTTTGCAGGGCAGAAACCCTTTTCACCCCCCCAAAACTATTGGCCAAGTTACGCCCCTGGACAGAGTATGGTGTTTCTACAGCTTATCTGGAATGGTTTCGCTGATCACATCAAACGTCGGTTGGGGACGCTCTCTCATCGAAAAGAACGTAATGATTGGAGTACCTCAAGGATCAGTTTTAGGGCTTTTACTTTTTCTTGTTGTTATTAACGACTTGCCGTAATCAGTAAAACACTTGAACACAATCTTGTTTGCAGATTACACAGTAATCTATTACTCGGGAAAAACTGTAATGAAATCCAGAATAAGATGAATGAGGATTTGGCTCTAGTGAAAAAATGGCTAAATGACCATCGACTGACGTTAAACATCACAAAATCAAAGTTTGTTGTGGTTGGAGGAAAGCAGCACTTACAGCGTTTCAAAGATATGACATTGAAAACCAAAGAGGACGAAGTAAGTCAAGAAACAAGTTATAATATCTTGGTATGATAATCAATGAAAATATGACATGGGGGGATCACATTGCTTCATTGCAGCAAAAAGTAGAAAAAGGATAGGTTTGTTAAAAAGAATCAATCATCTAATCCCTAGGGCGCAACGTTCAACTTTGGTAATCATTATGATAATGCCATTGTTTGATTATGGACATACTGTTTGGGGGGAAAGGGGGGGGGGGTAGAAACAACCAAGACCTCTGTAAGAAACTATAAGAAACTTTTGTAAGTTCTTCATAACAAATGTGCCAAACTGGTATTGAACATGAAACCAAATGACTCAAGCACGAAGGCCTTAAATTCACTGCACTGGAAATCTCTAGATTTTAGACAAAAGTTTTATCGATGTGCCACCATTTACAAGTCGAAAAAAAACGATATAAGTTACAATTTCAGCAATAAAACAGGAAAGGAGTTGCACAACATCCAGACAAGGAATAAAGAGCAATACCATTTATATAAAGTAAGGGCAAATTGGTGGAAGCAAGTGTCATCCTATCTGTTCGTTGATAACTGGAATAAACTGGACACAAACGTTAAGTCGGCAGGAAACTCTAATATTTTTAAACAAAGGTTTTGTCAATGTTAACTGATTTTATCCCTTTTTATGATGAACTATTCTTTTTATTTGTAATGTTTTCAGTAAATTGATACAATTAGTTAAATAGAAGACCCTCATGAAAAGCACCCTCGAGTGACTGAGGCCTTCCTCTGTGAATATTTGTATTATTATATAAGTGGTTTTTTTCTAAAAATGCTTTGCAAGACTTTCCTGGCGTCTTTTTTTTCATAACGTAGTTTTGTCTTTTTTCTAATTTGAAGCAGTATAAACATCCAGTCTCTAGGTAAACGCAAACAAAACGTTGCTTCCCTTTATTGGGTATAGAAAATATCGAAAGATTATAAGATTTTAGAAATATCAGAAATTCTGTCATGTGATTCTGTCACGCATGTGCCGTACAGTCTTCCCCTTAATTCGATATCTCGACGCTCTATTTGAGAATACGGGACCTTATTTAACACAATTACTTAACCAAGGAGGTGTCTTTGGGTCCGAAGAAATTATTTGTTTCAGGCAAAAGACCTGTATAATCTTTCTTCAGAACCAAGTCAGAAACGTGGGAAGTATTTTAGCCGCGGGAAGTGATTTGAAGAAAAAATTTAAGTTACCACTCTACCCTTGTTCACTGCCATGTTTGCTGTGGTTTCTGAAGCGCTAATCAGAAGTTGGTGACGCCACTAACTGGTCATTGATCTAGCTAGCGGGGTGTAGGGAGGCGTAACACACACCCCCCCCCAAATACTTCATGAATTCGTCGGTAAATCTTCGGTTTGTCTACAAAACCCTTAGTTTGTCCGTAAAGTCATCTATCAGTAAGTGAAATAGCACCTAAATTTTTCTCCATCTATGTCTTCGTCGGTAAATTTTTCTATTGATGACCCTCCACCCCTTTAGTCTGGAAGGTCAAGCGATGCCACTGATCTAGCCTTTAGTTTTTCAAGAAAAAGAGTTTGAAAAGGTTTTGCAGCATTTAGGCACTTAAACTATATGAATTTTATCTTTCTCAGCCTGACATTGATATAGAAAGACCAGAAAAAGGTCTGAAAACCGAAAGCAGTTACGAATAACTACCACCAAGATGAAATAATAGATACCTATTATTTTATCTTGTTACCACTACAGAAGAATAAACAATGAAAAAGGACGCATGAGTATTACAAAGAAGACCGTATTAGATAGGAAGGTACTTAAATAATTAAAATATTTTTACGCGTAATCAAAAAGTCAACATACCAACGTTTTGTGCATTCATTTCTATGTTTCCATTTAGGTAAAAAAACCTTTGTTTAAACTTATTTTTTGTAGATATGCCCTGTAAATATTTCGAATCCTAGTTCGTAAAATTAGTCCATTCTATCGAATGCTTGTTCTATCTGCGCAACGTTCATTGGTTTCTTTCAAGCTAACTGTGGTATTCAATGTTGGCCCTAGCATCGCATCCGTCACCAAGAAGTTGGCACTTTAAAATAACGCTGAAAAAGCATAGGCCTTCAATCAGCCTAAGAACAAGTCAACAATATAATAAAGAAGCAATATGTAGTATTGTTTATTAGCCAAACTATAGTTTTGCGTTGGTTGTTGCTCTACCATTTACCACGTTAGACTTCGCTTCAGTAATATTGAACTATTCGTCGTCTGCAAATTGATAAATCAGCTTCTTCCTTGGTTTTCGGAGCAAACCACGCCCGACGTAACCTCGTAACGTGCGCGCAAGGTGCTCGTATTTCATGTTTGGCTTTCGTTTGGTCACGCCCCATAAGTGTGCCAAAGCTTCTGTGCTAGTTATTTTAAAAGTTCCTGTTGCCTTGTCAGTCCACTGTAGACACTGATATTTTTCTTCATTTTCGATACTCATTTTGAGAAATCTTAAAAGTTTTGGAAGCTTTTTAGCTCTAGTATACTGCTTCTCCCTTCTGGAATTTTTGTTACTTTCCACAATTCTCGCCTTTACCTTTTTTCTGCGTGCTTTTTCTTCTGGACATTTCTTAGTCTTTTCGTGACAGCTTTCTGATGTGTTCTTTTCCTTTGTATGGTACGCACCTCTGTCGTGAACTGTAGCTTGGGACATTTCTTTCTTGCGAGCTAATCTATTATTCAGTGATACATATTTTGTCTTATCTGTTGAATCTCCCTTGAGATTTACGATCTTGTCAGCATCCTCGCTTCTCTTGTTGCCAAAAATGGTACTTTCTGGACCAGTGTAACTACGTCCCGCAATTCGCCTAAATTTTACTTTCAGCTCATCAGCATCTAAAGTAACGCTCCTTTCCCTGCCATAAATAACACCATTTTGGCCATTAACATCCGGTTGGCTAGAAAGATCGGGCATCCCTCCAGAATGAAACTGAGGAAACCGTTCATTGCCAAGAAACGGTAGCTGACAATTAGGTAAGAACGAGGAAATCGGCCATATCTGATGTGTCGCGGAAACTCTATTGCAAACAAACGCACTCTTCTGTACATCGTCTGGATCGTTGTTGTTGTTGTTGTTGTTGAAATCTGTTTCGATATTCCTGTTGTTGTCATTGTTGTTGCTGTTGTTTCTAGTGGCAACGTTAGTGATAATGCTGCCTTGACCACCGTTGGCATTACCTTGGCTGTTGAAAATATCTGCAGTTCGGGACAGTGCTGTGCTCTTCTGAAGATTTGTGTCTGATTCGAATCTATTTGTTGCTAAAGGGGCAAATTTGAACTGTTCTTTCATGTCTGGTGACGTGCATGATTGTGTTAGCTCATTCAGAATCTCATCATAGAGGTCATCTTGTAAGTCAGGAGAAAGTGAGCTTGAAGAATCGCTTGAAATTGATGTTTGTGACGAGTATTTTCGTCCCTGATTGACGCGATCGTTGTTAAACCAGTGAATTTTGCTGGTTTTCGACAAATCAGCCTTGACATCTTGCACCATAGCCTGACAAAGAAATAGTTAGATATAAATGAGGAAACATTTCTTCAATGTCGGCAAAGACATCTCTACCTAAAACAAGTTAAACGAGAAATGTGTGCAGGGGTGTAGTAGAGAAACAACGCATAAACCACATAAACGAAGATGTACGGGAAAGAATTTTTGGGAAAATGCAAGAAAAATGCTTTGGAGTATCCCTTTAGGTTGGTTGTTGATACATACGATCAGGGCCTCCGACAAAGGGGGGGGGGGGGCAGGGGGGCCATGGCCCCCTCACTTTTTTGCAAAACAAGATAGAGCTTTTTAAAAACTTTTGTTATGATTGTTATATTTTCTCTTAGCCCTTCCACTTTCCAACCTGCATCGGAGCCCATGACGATGACTGCAAAGTTGAGCCATTGAGTATTATATGCTTATTATCAAGATCTCTTTCCGTCGAGTAATACCGCAATTTCGAGTTTTCCCATCTGATGGGTGGAGCGTAGATTTAGTTGTATTTAAAAGCAACCTGTCCCCTATTAAGAGCAGTTGTTTAACAAAACAAGCTGTAATTACTACAGGGATTCTGCAACCTCTACTTACATGAGAAATATTTTTGCCCGATTTTAAATAAAAAAGTTGCAGCTGAATTAAAGACGTTTGTAAGCAGTTGTTGCAGCGTTGTAATTTGTTGCAAATTGAAGAAAGTGATAATGGAAAGCATCATAAGCATGTTAATTCCAATCTATTAAAATTGATTTCTTTGGGTTACAAGCAGTGACAAAGGTAGTGCTAATGGATTATTGGACACTGAGGAACTTGTTGGTGTGGAAATTGATGACAAAAATGTAAATACAGGAAGGAATGTATGAAATGTTATTTTGGCAGTAACATTCTGAATGCATGGTGCATATGTCATTGATTAGATTTTGTGTTGGAATATATGCACGAAATGTCTGAAGTATCATACTAGATAGTGAGGTCGATAAGCTGAAAAATCGTGCAAATTGTGATAAAAGCATGAAACTTGGCGAAAATACACAATTTGATATCCTTGACAAGATAGGATATAGACCCCTTCTGAAAAATGCCCCTTTGTGCTATTTTTAGACTAGGGTGCTTGTGCCCAGTCCACGTAACATGTTATTGTGTTAAATTCCTTCCTGTTAGCTTTACAACCAAGAAACTTTGCAAACCTACATAATTGATATACCGAAAAAGTTAAATGTAATCTCTTAACCTGGAAATACCCCTTTGTGCTATTTTTAGACAAGGGGGCACTTGTGCCCAGTCCTCGGAGGATGTAAGTGTGGTTAGTATCTTTCTAGTAGTTATATAGCCACAAAACCTAGTAAACTATATTATTTAAGATGATAAAAAAGATTAAAGTGGTTTCATACCTCAGAAATACCAATAGTGCTATTTATAGACCAGGGTACTTGTGCCCAGTCCACGGAACACGTTAACATGGCAACTTTCATACAGTTGGCTGAATTCTCATGAAACTTGGTAAACCTACACAGATTGATATGCTGAAAGAATTTAACTTGATCCCCAAACCTTGAAATACCCTTGTGCTATTTTTGGACCAGGGTACTCGTGCCCAGTCCACGGAACACGTTAACATGGCAACTTTCATGCAAGAAAACGACTGCAAGAACTATTCAGAAATGTAGTTTTAAGGCCTATACAAAGGGCGTGGTCGCAATACCCTTCTGCTCCTTTCGCTCAAATGTGTCCTCGACTTTCGGTTTGCCCCAGAGCCGCCGGTGAAAATATTGGAAAATATTGTTTGTCATGTTGAATTCATCTAATGTTTATGATACGCGAAGAAATGTGGATAAGTGGATAGCTATTAAACCTTAAATCGTTTTGCAATAATTGCCGTTTCGTTAGCAAACTTTTTGAAGGGATGAAATATCATGTGCATTAATAGAGTTCTTAAGGGTAAAATCACAAAAAAACTATTTTTATAATTTTTGAATTTTGAACATGCAAATGTATCAGTAAAATGTGTCAAGAGCCGGGTGCGATAAAAAATGATAATTAATAAAAGATTTGAAGTTTGCTTAAGGATCACTGTTTTTTGGCTCTGTTCATAAGGTTATGAACAGAGACCAGAGTACAGAGGTTTGATGGGGTAAGAGCCTTTGCTCATCTGATCATAACTCTGTCAATTCGTAACACCTTTAACTGACTTTGCAAATTTAGAGGTATTGTGCAATGCTCTTTCAGGTTATGGGATCCAAATTCAAAAACTCTTAATGAAGTATATCTGTAAAGTCATCACTTAAGTAATCTTTTGGAACACATATTATAGGCCAAAAATGTATAATTAACACTATGTAGAAATTTTTCCTACAGTAAAACGTTCTAACTACTTTTAACCGAAACTGTTAAGAAAAAGCATCTTCAGAGAATAGGGAAACCGATTGACTTTGACTACTGTATGATTAGACAAGGTGACAAGAGAGCCAAGAGAGCGAAATAAATAATCGTGATTCTTTAGTATACTTATCAGGATACATATACAGGCCATAGCCTTTTTTAAGGAATATCTACTGGGCGCTAAAGTTGGCGCATTGCATAATCAGGGCCAGGCCTTGTTGTGGGGGGGGGGGTGATGTAGACTACGAATTTACCTGATTAAACCTCTGCAATTCATGTTGTCAATCTGGCTATTATTTTTTTAAGACCTCTTGTGACCGTAAACTTTCTGAAGAAAATTTCCTGTAAAAGTAGTTTAGAGTTTGTGCTTCAAACAGTTCAATTCTGCGATAAAATTGTGTTGTTGAAGACAAACAGCAGTCACCTAAATAAAAAAGAAAATTTTCGATTTGATAAGTTACCTTTTCCATGCTTATGATCAGGGCTGCAATGAGGTTTTGGAAGTCCTGGGGTAAAAGCGAAGGTGAGGCCTACTGCGAGCGAAGGGAGCAGAAATTCTTTGCAACCATGACCTTAAGATTAGCTTAAATTTTATAATATTTCTTGCAATCGTTTTAAATATTTTACTTTTTTAGGCAAACTTTTGCTACGCTTGATTAATTCAATTCTTAAAATGGAATTCAATACTTGTTAGGCTTCCTAGACCTGGAGGCCCTGGGGAAATTTGCCCCCTTGTACCCCCCTCTCGGTGGCTCTTCTTATAAAAGCCATTAATAAGATAATGTTTGGGAAATATTGTCATTTTTGCATTTATGAGTGAACATTAAAATTAACCTCTTTCCATTAAAATTCTTGCATTAACCTCTTGCATTAACTAAGTGTATCCATGGTTGGAAATTTCCTTTGAGAAAAATTGTTTAATTGTGATTTACTTGTGACCAATTTCCACATGGTTACGGGGAAAATAACACCCTGTTGTTAATCAGACTCTAGGGCATGTAATTCGCCACATCTATTTACATGACAATAACGGACTTTCCAACCATATAGATCAGTATATCGGAACAAGCACCAGGAGCGGATCCAGAGCAAACTTGAAGGAGGGGCAGTTGGTAGTGGGGACGCTGAAAAAGTTTCAAAAATTGACGACGATGTAAACAACAATTTCAGATCCATTTTCGGAATAAACAAGGTAACTTTGAAATAATCCTTGAAGCAAATTAACCTATTGATCTCAGAAACTTTTTCACCTGATTCCCATTCTTCAAAAGGGGCGCACGGTTTTTTAAAAAATGGGCGCCATACTTGCTTCAACTCGTCAAGAAAGGGGCAACTGCCCCTGGTTGCCCCCCCTTAAATCCGCCACTGAAAAGCACAGGATTGAGCTACTACGAGAGCGGCAAAATAGTTGCCGCCAAAATAAAGGAAAATTTTCGAATTTTGATGCCTCCAGTTCGCTGGAAAATGTACTTATTCAAGTAATTTTTACTTACACTCTTTTTTTATATAAGAACAATTTTTTAAAAAACGAGAATTATCTCAAAAATGAGAATTTTTAGCCATGCGTGGGTGGTTTTTTGCTGAATATTCAAACTTGTCGGCAAATGAAGGTTGTCTCACTCACTTTGTTGGCACATGAGACCAGAAAATGTCCCTTGAACGAAAAAGCTAGCAATTGCACTGCTTACACCTTATTGATTAATTAAGAACAATCCAGCCTCAGCTTTTCGAAAAAATAAAGAACAGTCAGCCTGAACTCAAATTTATTTGTCCTTATAGAAGAGAATGCATCCAACCTTGCCTTTGAATTTGGTTTTCATCGATTTTCATCGACTTATGTATCTTTTTGGATTCTCAGGGCAGAGATGATGAAGACACCATGATGACGTTTTATATTCATATGCAATATCTATATAAGGCCTAATTATGACTAACAGGTTGATGAGTTACTCCTTACCACTCCACTGGCCTACGCCAGGGAGTGGCTGTCTCTAATATATGTCCTTTCTACTGGAGCTCCTTCTCGTAACTGACTACAATTCTTGCTGCAGTACCCAAGACCGTCGAGAGGGGAGGGAGGGTAACCAGGGTAGTTACCAGGGGGCCCGGGGCCTTGAGGGGCCCGTAGAAAATAAGGTATGTATTTTTGGCTATCACTTTTCAATTAGCAGCTTGGCAGGGCGGGCCCATGACCCGATTGATATTCGAAATTTAATCTTTCCACATGGGATCAACAAGCTGGTCTATGATGAGGGCCTTTTCTTGTTATGGTTTATAATTAAAACATTGACGATACGATCATATGCTTCTCCGGAAGCCGAAAAATTCGATTGCACTTACATATATCTACTTTTAGGTCAAATGTTTTAGTTATTCCTTGTGTGGACTTCCTATAAACGTAAAAGTAAATCTTCCATTCACGGCGTACACCAGAGAAAAAGCACATGCGAAGAACCAAGACAAATCCAAACGCTATAAAAGGCTTTATCAAAATCACTAAGCTGGATCACGATCCAACCAACCCCTGCGATGTCATCTTACAGGCACAAGTCTGGTGCTCAGAAAGGGCAGGAAAAAAAGATACGAGAAAAAGAAGCAAAGAAGGCCTCTCGCACATTGTTTGAGGTAGGTGCTTACAAAAGAGACAAGGAAGGTGATTCAACTTTAAATAAACCTAGCGAAAGCTCTGTTCAAAGCACTGCTGAAGAAGAAGAAGACACAAACGGCTTGGCTGCTTCGGTAGACCGTGACGCCACAGAAAGTATAGAGAAAGCACTACTGATCCGTCATAAAATCAAGATACTGTTCATAGTGGATCATCTAGTTTTGATGTCGGCACATTGACCGGATTTCCAACGATAAAGGAGTTAGAAAAGGTTGTTAGAACTGGTCATTTGCCTCATCCTCCAGAGTTTCCCAAAGATTGCGACGGCCACAAATTTCCAACAACGGTCCTAAATGTGAAGCAGCAAAATGGTGAGGTAGTAAGAAGCTGGCTTGTTTTCAGTCCTACAAAGGCTGCACTCCATTGTTTGCCATGCAGGTTGTTTGGGCACACTATTAATAATGGTAGCTTGCTTGTTATCGCAGTGGTATAATGGTACATTAACTACATTACAATTCTGTCATATTCGGGTTTTTGGAAGTAAAGACAAATATCACCTTCTGATTTTTAGGAGAAAAAGATAAAGAAACCTCTCTAAATATCCCTGGGTCTGTGTTAAAATTAAAGGTTCCCGAAAGAAGTTAAAGAGTCCCAACAGCTGGATATGTTTGAAACGAAACTGAATCTGTAGATAACTTTGTGATGCAGTTGTAGATTTTGTAAAACATTTATAACACATTCAGGCTTTTTTGATAACTATTTTATCTAATAATGTATAACGTGGCTAGGCTACATCTCCTTGCTAACTTTGAACAAATTATCTGTTATCACTATATTTATATAATTCTTCCTGTAATGTATGTTTGTATAACTGCTTCCTGCAGATCAATATGAAACTAATTGTCCCCTCAATGATTGGCTAATATGAACAATAGTTCTTCCCGCTTTAACGGAATACGGATTACGATGCTTGCTTTGGCTGGCCTAGCTGCGGTAGTGGACGACATTTGAAACTGCGAGCAAAAAGCTATCGGGAATGGCAAGAAGATTTAATTACTGGAATTGAATGATGATTATGAAAGTATTTCCTTTCGCTATTTGAAATATTTGTCGCAGAAACCAAACAGGGCGCCATATTTTTCTAGCCACAGCTTTACTACAACGGGAACACAGGCATTTGATTCAAAAGCTCTGGAATAAAAGTAGTTTCTGATTGGTTTAAATCGTTTAGTTATCGATCAAGCTCAACGGTGCGCGAATTTCACCCCCGTGAAAATAAAGCTGAGCACAATAGGGGACAGGCTGCCTTTAATAGAGTCGAACGTGAATACATACCCCGTGCACGCTGCTTATGAGCCGCTTGACAATTCTTTCTCTGATTTCTTGCCCTATGGGGAAAACACATTCATGAATAGATATTAGATTCTCAGTAAACAGTCTATAAAAAATTGAAAAAATTAAAACCATGTTTTTCACTAAAGGTAAAGGCGTTTCAGAAATCACTGGGAATGATGTCTTATTAGTGATCCACAGTCAGTTGCTGAGATTCTGAATACCCATTTTGTTAGCATTGGTCAAACTACAAATTCAGTCCATTAATGCTGACTGAGAATTCAACAATAACTGAAATCACAGGATACTTTAAAGAGCATTCAAGCATAAAAACAATCAACAACTTCCAAACAAATAACTCAACCTTAAGCTTTAAACCGATCACCAAAGAAAGCCTTAAGACAAATAATCGTGAAGCTAAATCACAAAAAAGCACACGGGTACGACATGATAAATGCAAAATTCCTAAAGATCTCAGTTGATATCATCCTACAACCCCTCTTGAACACCATAAATAAATGCATTATTCAAGGAACTTTTCCAAACTTTTTAAAAAAGGCTATAGTTTCACCTGTCTATAAGAAAAATTATCTTATGGATTTGTCAAAAGCCTTCGACTGTCTACCAAAAAACCTACTTTTAGCAAAACTACATGCCTATGGTGTAGATAGAAATTCTCTTTTACTTATACAAAACTACCTGTCTAATAGACAGCAAAGGGTCAAAGTGAAAGGCCATTGCAGCTCCTGGGGTAAACTTGGACAAGGAGTAACACAGGGTTCAATACTTGGACCTCTACTTTTCAATATTTTCCTAAATAATATTTATACAGCCTTAGTGAAGGGTCTTTATGTAATTTTGCTGATGACAACACGATATCTGTCATTGCAACAAATACTGATGAACTATTGCAACTTGTAAAAATTAACACCAAAAAATGTCTTGATTGGTTTAAATCTAATGAAATGATTGCAAATCCCTCTAAATTTCAAGCTATCACAATCGGCAGCAAAGATAAATGCATCAATGAGTTTGAAATTGACCAAAAATTTGCATTGAATATAGAGAACAACGTTACTTTGCTTGGTGTTCAGATTGATGAAAATTTGTTTGACGCTCATATCGATAAGATCTGTAAAAGAGCAGCTAAACAGTTAAATTTTTTAAAAAGGCTGGCAAGATTTATGGGCGACAGAGAACAAAAAGATAATTATGAATTGATTTATACTATGTCACTTCAATTATTGTCTATTGATATGGATGCTATGTGGTAAAGGAAGTCAGGATAAGCTAGAGAAAATTAACGAGAGGGCATAAAGACTAGCCTATTCGGGCTATTCATCTTCTTACAAAGATTTACTTGCTAACTCAAAAGAAACTACCATACATGTCCAATCAGTTAGAATTTTAGCGCTCGAAGTTTATAAAACACTTAACAACCTTAATCCTGCTTTCGTGAAAGACTATTTTGTACCCCAAACAACAGGTCATAACCTTCGACTCAAAAACCCCCTTGACATTCCAAAAGCCAGAACTACCAATAATGGTATCAGATCATTAAGTTTTCAAGGGCCTAAAATCTGGAATTCACTCCCGGGATCAATAAAGACAGCACAAAATACTAGACAATTTAAGAATTTGATCAAAATTTGGGTCCTTTAAAACAAGTGCGCATGCTCATTTTGCAGTAAATGAACTGTCTTATGCAATCCTTGAAATTGCTTCATGTTAGTCTTAATTAGTGTATATTCACTATTGTAGCAACTAACATTAAATAATCTACAATTTAATACAATACAATACAATATAATACAATACAATACAATACAATACAATACAATACAATACAATACAATACAATACAATACAATACAATACAATACAATACAATACAACTTTTTCACTTCTCAAGGACTCTACTCATATCGCTGGCAAAAGAATGCCCGAAGGTACTACGACTGCATCAGCCTAGATGTTGGAAAAAGTAAATATCTTGTCTAAAAGTAAATAGTTCAGGCTAACTGTTCTTTATTTTTTCGAAAATCTTAAGCTCGATTGATCTTATTCTGTTCTTAAATTAATAGGGTTTAAGCAGTGCGATTGCTGGCTTTTTCACTCTAGAAAGGTGTTCAGACCTCGCTTGCCAACAAAGTGAGTGAGTTAACCTTCATTTTCCGTCAATCGAAAAAGCATCCATACGTGGCTAAAATAAAAACCCTCGTTTTTGAGATGAAACGTTGTTCAAAATTGTATTTTACAGCAGCTTAGCCTGCATTTGTTCTTAGTTTGTTTTTTAACTTTTGACCAATTCTGAGGCTCGTGTTCTTATAAATGTGTTCGTGACCGGGGGACATACTTCTAAAGTGTGACGAAGTGTACAAAAGAACCAACCTGAACTTATGTAGTGAAGAGATCAAGAAAAGGTGGGCGAACCCCGGCCACAACATCAGACACGAGGGCCCGGCGAAAAAGGCGATGCAGAAGTAAAGACATGGCGAGCAGGAAGAAACCTCGTGGCAGGCCAGTGAAGAGCCTGGCATCGATCGCGAAGGAAGAAATGGCGAGCAGAGGAGCGACTGCAGATGATGCTGAAAATAGAGCAACCTAGCGAGAAATTGCAGAAACCAGCTACAGGGCCCACGCCACCGATTCTAAAGTGGGGTTACCTATTTAATACTTAGAAGGGGGATTTTGTACCTATAGTTAGCAAGAAAAGTGGGGGGGGGGTGGGCCACGGCAACATAGCAACAATCGTCAATATCGATTTTTTATCTAATCCGGGATTATTTTAAAATTGGCGATCGTTGCAAGTTGCTAGCATGGACAGGTTGCGAATGACTAACACGCTAAACTTTTAGAATAACTTTACCATTCGAATTTCGCTTAACCGTTATGTTCAGCGTCCTATATCTTAATCTTGCTATCTTGCATTGGCTTTCACGCTTACCATTACCTTTAAACAAGAGAAGGATATTTTCACCGAGAGGAAGCCGTTTCTGCGTTCCAAACCCCTGTCAATGCAGTTTTCTGCGTTCAATACCCTCGTCTACGCGGTTTTTTGCGGTTTACTCCAAATTTCCACACTTAAAACACGTGTCGCCACACCCATATATCAGTGCATATATAGTGAATTCTAATTTCCGTATTTCCTCTAAAAAACGTTGCGGCGTTTATTACATTATTGGATGCGGCGTTCAATAGAGGGCGGCATTCATCAGAGGGCGGCGCTCAATACAAAATGAAAAGTTTGTCAAATTATTAATGACAAGGAAAATGCGATGAAAAAAGATAAAAAGTATGTGAAGTCAAGTCAAGGAATGTCAATATCCTTGTCTCCGTCAGAGTCGTCCTATATGACGTTACAACTCTCATGGCTTTCGATTAGTAAGCGTATAAACTATTCGTTACTTCTTGTTTGGTGTGTTTTCTAATGAACGCCGCTTTTCAAGATGCGGCGTTCAATAGAGAGCGGCGTTTATCAGAGGGCGGCGTTCATTAGAGGAAATACGGTATGTGCAAGAGGCTAGGTATATTACTCCAGCTAGAAATCATCACAACCAAGCCTATAAAATTGCCCCAAAGTAGTTTCATATACATTAGCATTTGGTATTTGATTACCTTTTAGGCGTGATAAATTTCGTAGTTTCTTATTAAAGGCCAAACTCGGGGTTTGCTCTAATGAAAATGATTTCTAATCAGTCTTTTGGTATTTGTACCAATGCAGGGAAATTGACTGTGCTTACACGGCCAATCGATAACTGTATGCTATGACCATCCAAACGACAGCTACAACCCCGCCAAAGAACTTTGAAACTCCTTTTCGCTTTGCTATGCTGAAAAGTCAACTTGTCTCCAGTAAAAAAGGCCGACACCACATCCCCTTCCCGACAAAAATATGTTTATTGTAGAGTAAAATATCATAGCTTACTGAAAGGAATCAATTTGGTCCTTGATTTTGCATAAAACAACATTTTTGTCGGGGGGGGGGGGGGGGAGGGGGGATGCAGTAAAGAATGTGTAAAAGTTTCGCGTATCTGGACTTTTGGCAAGCATTTTATTGGCGTTCTGCAACAGTTGCTCTGGGACAATTATGGGGACAGTTGAAATGAAATTTCAAGCTGAGTTTAGTTTCTGCATGGTTACACGATGATGTGTTTGCAAAGACAGCTTCTTAGTAAATGCAAATTTTGGAGATCACAGATTAAAAACACACCCTTCTCTATATTAAAAGTTGTAATTGATTTCTTACTTCCCTTGTTCATGTGCATTCAAAAACTTGCCAGAGCATGTGTCGTAACCGAACATAAAATCCAGCTAATTCACAAGATAGAGGACAGCACTGAAAACCCTGGGGGAGGGGGGGAGGTTGTAACCTGAACCAAAGAATGATGGGGGCGTGCCGAACAAAAAATAGCAAAATTATCCAATTTTAGGGATTGGGAGAAAAAATACCCAGGTTTAAGCTTTATGAAATCAACTGTAGGTAGCATGGAAGAGACAGAAAAAACAGCGAACTACAACTCACATATTACGTTACGCTTAAGACAAGAAAGATTTTGTGTAAACACAAAATTAAGGTTTGTCGACCCATTTCTATGGGAATCAATGCATTTTGGAGACCTATATTTAGGGAATTTGAAGACTTCCAGCTCACCCATTTGGGCGGCACAGACCCGTTCAGCTCCACATATAAGTAACCCCACCCCCAGCCCCATACCCGGGGCTGTAAATAGGTGAGAGTGAAAGAGTCGAGGAACCAGACCATAAATATAGCTTTTTAAACAAATGAGTAAAGCAGTTAAATTCGGTTTAGAAGAACTAATGTGGAATTTTACTTACCTTTTAAAGCAATTATGGACATTGTGACACTGAGTGGAAAGCTCTACTTTCTTAGGATAGTTTAATATACTGCAAAAGCAAATTTGTCTTTGCTGAAAAGTCTGCAAGCACATTTATCCAAAAGAGGGCAGAGTCATCTTCCACATCTCTCCAAGGCGTGCTGTACATAAACAGCTTAAGTCTGGGCTTGTTCTTTGTCTGTTTTTGTGATTGTGATTGAATGCTAGATGATGCATTGAAAAATACAATCTTTTCAATATGAGAACAGTGGTAAATTATGAGAACAGTGGTAAACACAGCTCGGAGGACAATGAAGATAGCGTATCGGAAATGTTTAATGCGGAATCGAAACTGCTGCAAGGCTTATATGTATGGAGCAGGCAACTGGCTCAAGCAGCGGGTAGGAGCATAAAATACACATCATTACGAAAATATACTGGCTTGGGATGGGAACAAGAGATATTTCATTTCCCAAAATGTTTGTCAAGGTCCTTTTTATTATTGCTACACCACTCTACACGGGGCACGCACTCATGATGCCGACGTGGTTGCTTTGTGCGTCATTACTGTAGAGTTAATTCTATGAAATACCTTGGCACAATGAACACAGATTATTTATCGAACCGACTGAACTTATTGTAAACAAGACAACAGAAAAATAGGAAAGTAAGAAAAAACGATTAAGAACTTTGCTCCAGGTTTTGAATGGGTTTAAGGGTACAAACACGAACCTAAAAGCTCTAGGTTTTGATTTCATTTCGTTATTCTTTAAGGGGCTTCACCCTCCCAAAGAAGAAACTTTTTCGAATCTAGAAAAAATCCACCTTAATCAAGCTGACAATGAAAAGAAATAGAGTAAATTTAATTTCTAATACGAAAGTGAAAAATTTCTTTTTCTAATTTTTTAGCCTGTTGTACCTGGGAGTAAACTATTTCTTGAAAACTCTTCGAAGTAGCTTTTCATTTCTTGAAAACAAACAGTTTTACATGTTAACTCTCATAATATGGTACAAAATGCTGTCTGATAGCATTGCTGAATGTTGTTGAGGATTTTCACAGTTTTTTCATTATTATGAGTTTTTAAAAGAAAACTTAGTCGAAAGCGAGATTTGGTAGCAAGACTAAGAAGATATATGACTAGATGCTTTTTTACATAGCTTCGTTGTGAGAATTACATCGATTTTCTGCAGTATAATTGCACATATGCACAACGAATATGTAACGTAGTCCTGGTACTGTAAAATATAACATATAAACAAATTCTACGACTCTTAATGACTTCTTTTCTGATTCAAAATCAACCATTAACCATTAATAAATTAATAAGCCTTTTCTGTGGTCGTCTTTTCTTCAGAATTTCCTTTTCTTCAGAATTTGAGAACGTAGTTACGCCACAATCAAAGCCTCGATTACCTGAAACAGCCATACAAAAGACCTCTTTGTGATTCGTGACAAAATCGTCTCGGATAGGTGTTTACACTGTCCCGTTCAAAAACGGAACCGTGACGGTACAAAATTCGTTCGCTTTCAAAGCAGGGTAAAAACTGTTCCGGATAGCAGAGCAAAATCGTCACGGTTCCACAGTGCTAGTGTAAACGCAAGGGCGAACCGCGACAGTTTTGTCACGGTTCCAAACTTGCACGGGACAGTGTAAACGGGGTCTAAGCCGTATGTTTTGAAAATAACTTATTAAAGCATTCCAATCTTTCCTCGAACTTAAATAATTTCCGTTACTGAATAATATCTGTCTTAAGAGATCCTTTGTCCTTTTTACCATGTCTTTCTCATACAGAAGGAGCCCATCAATCTGCAAAATTATCAATTTGCATAAACGGGTGGCATGAGGATCCCTTAGAACCCATTTTTCCAAATGATGTTGTCAGTTATCTTTTTGAAAAGTCAATAGTCTTATAAGCTCATGTTCAATGCCTGACCATAATTACGCATAATTGTACGGGCATCATACTAGGCTAGTAGGAGCTAAAGCCCCTTTTTATTCCTTCAAAGAAACGCTTTAAAACTTTCAAAAATTCATAAATTACCTTTTGAAGAGAATGAAGTCATTATTTTGCTAAATTTCAGAAGATTGCGTGTTTAATCGAAAATAATATCGTCTCCTACGCTGATAAGAGAAGTTGCTTTCTCTGTAAAATCTTAGAAGATAGTGTCGCACTAACTGAAAAATGGCTTTAGGCTTTTGGCTTTAGTCTAACTTTCAAAATCTGCAAACCATTCTACATCTAAATATTTTGCCAACCAAACTACTCATTTCACACCTAAATATTTTGCCACGCTTTCAGAGTTTCAAATACAGTCAATTTGACTGAGAATCTTCTTCTCAAAGCAAATTGTGAAAACAAAAGACATTAAATTTCGGCATTTTCTGAATTTCCAAATAGCGTGATTTAAAATATTTTCACGGGGACAACAGGGATGGCGCCACCGGGGGTGCTTGGGAGGGGGGCAAGAGCCCGGCACTTCAATTTTTGAAAAATTTTAGGCAATGTCGGCACTTTCGTAACTTCAACTTCGTGATTTTTTTTTGATTGTTTGATTTTTTTCAGTTTTTTTATCATATTTGAACTGGATTACCACAGCGGAAATGGTGTTATATTAGATCTTTGTTGGTGGTTCACTCACTGTCGGCACCCTGACAATACCCCCACCCCCACCAGCATTTCTTTTCTGGCGCCATCCTTGGGGACAAGCCCCCGTTTTGCTTGCAATATAATTCCCCATTCCGTCATACATTGCATGAGATTTTAAGAATGAATAATGACATAAATATACTAATTTGATAACGGGCTATGCTCGAAACGTCGTTTATTAATCCGTTAATTTTTTCAAGTATAATTCCTAGTTTAATTGAATTATGTAGTTTGCAGTAAACTGATTCCCAGCTACACAAAATTGAGACACACTTTGCTTATCCGACATCTCTCCTGGCTGTGTGCAAACTTTTGAGACATTCATCGCACTTGCAAGGTACACTCAAGGTAAAGTCACTTGAAGCTTTAAGATGAATAAACCTGTTTGAATAAATACAGTCATACATTGGATACATGGATGTGCCATGCGATATTGTAAAGGAGACATGCGACCAAAACCACAAACTATGGGGCGCCAAATAGGCCAAAATTTCAAGACGGGACAGAATCTTGTGAAGACCCTAAAATATCATCAAGAGTTGGATATATCTCTCTTTACAACAAATATTCTTCACAAGATAGCAAATCTTCATAAGATTCTATCCCGTCTTAAAATTTTGGCCCATTTGGCACCCCATAGCAAAGCAACGATAATCGGCTTAACAGGTCAAGAGATTTTCAGACCTCAACTAGTAGTTTTGATAGAGTAGTTATGGAAACTTCCATTTACATGGAAATTTTTGCATTTTCAAAACTTCTGCCAGTTTCAAACATGGTTATAATTGTGTGCCTTGAAAGTTCGGCTCTAGAAAAGTGGAGAAATCGAAAAATGGTTTCGCCCAGAAAACTTTTACCGTAACCTTAAAGTAAAATAGAAACCACAAGCTGTGAAAAAAGATGCAGATAAAATTGGCACCTTTTTCAATTCACAACCTTATTCCGCATGCGCAGTAGAAAAGTTAACCAGGCTCAACCCTCTTTCGTGATAACAATACATTATTTCAAACCAGAGTCAGCCCGGGCCGAGTCAGCCCGGGCCGAGTCAGCCCCGGCCGAGTCAGCCCCGGCCGAGTCAGCCCCGGCCGAGTCAGCCCCGGCCGAGTCAGCCTCGGCCGAGTCAGCCTCGGCCGAGTCAGCCCCGGCCGAGTCAGCCCCGGCCGAGTCAGCCCCGGCCGAGTCAGCCCCGGCCGAGTCAGCCCCGGCCGAGTCAGCCCCGGCCGAGTCAGCCCCGGCCGAGTCAGCCCCGGCCGAGTCAGCCCCGGACTCGGGGCACTTTGTGTTCGCACAATAGAAAATATAACTTGGGTTCACTCTACCCCCTACCCAGGCTAAAACAGGGTTCGATAGTATAGTGTAGACAAGACATTTGATATTCATGATAGGGTCATACATAATGATATCACCTATAATTTAAAGATTTTTAGGGCCCCCTGCCCCCCTGTGTCACCACCTCTCTGAACCCCTGTATCATATTGCCAATGACATCACTTCTCACACTCCCTCCCCCGCCCTTCGCTATACATACATTTGAAAAGTAGAGTAAAGCAAGAAAGCATAATTTCTATTTTATAAAAATTTTTTGCAAACCTAAAGTTGCGAAAATTATATTTTTAAAAAGTTGCGAACATTAAAACAACTCTGAAAGGTACCTTCTTATGTCTGCCTAGTTCAGGATTTCTCCAGGCTCCGAATTCCCAGGAATATCCTTTATTTATGATTCTTTTTATGCAAATTTTGGTCCACAGTTTTGATTCATGTTTTATCAAAGTAATCAAGAAAATCAACAAAACTGATTTCTCTACGATGTTCGTTGCTTCAGCGTTTAGTCTATAGAAACTAATAACTTTTACAAATCTGAACGCGTTTCAAAGATATGGTGAATTTTTTGGCAGTTACTGCGATCGGAGAACAATAACTCACAGCGCTGACTTACAGCTAAAATTTAACTGTACCCAAGAGAGGAAAAGATTGAATGGTGTAACCTGTTGTTTAGAATGCATTGAGCATATTGTGTCTACGCACAATTGAACTGATAGAATGACTGATAATACATTTAGAAAACTACAATATGAGTACAAGGAAGAAATAATGTTCAAAATAGCTCGGGAAAGTGGAACAAAATTCACTTGAACTCTTCGTCCGACGCTTAATAATGAAAGCAAGTGAAATTATTTCCAGTCGAAAGCCCGGTTTACACTACAAACAGCTACCGAGGTTCAACCTGTGTTGAGTTCACCCAGGGTAAACTCTTTTCAATTTGTATTCTAAACGGAAAGTGGGTCTAAACTTGGTTTCCAAACGCAATTGTGAGTCAGCCCGGATTGAGTCAACTGCCAACTCTGATTCTTTCTTGAATACTTTTTAAAGGTTTTCTGCCAAACGTTACGTTTGTTTTCACTTACATTTTTTACCACCCCTTCCTTTCTCTT